GAGAGTTGTGAGGTTCGAACTCCAGCCACCTGAGGCTGACAGCTTTGTGGAAGCAGCCACTTATAGGACTGAGCTAGGGCCAGGCCCCCAGTGTTTGTTTCTTAGTACGGGGAGCAAAACCCAGAGCTTTGTGTGTGCTAGGCTGTTGGCTCGGCTCCAGCAGTACAGGGATGGATCCCTGACCCCAGCTCTTTCTAAAGTTGCCCAGGTTGACTTCAAATTTGTGATTCTCCATCCTCAGCCTCTCAGGTGCTGGGATCGTGGAAGTGCACGTTGGCTTTGATTCACTGGGTTTTTTTTTTCCCCATTTTTGTTTTTGAGACAAGGTCTTACTATGTCGGCTGGCCTTGGACACACCAGGACCTTAACTCTCTTAGCCTCTAGAGTGTTGGGATTACAGGAGTGCCCCACCGGGCTTTTGATTTACTTTGGAACTCTTCTAAGAACCACAGAACTAGGCATATGCTACTGCAAACCCTATAAAGCTGTATCCGGGTCAGCAAAGTGGTGCAGCTACTGTGTAGTCTTCAAAAGGGAAGTGCATTCCTGTAGCACAGACGGGGCAGGCACACCAGCACACATCTCTACTGCCAGCTGCTCAAAAGGCAGAAGGAGCCCAAATTTGAGGCCAGCCTGAGCAAGTTAGTCTCAAAATAATATGACATATAGGTATCATTGTGTCAATGTTCAGCTCCCAGCAGAAACTCCTCTATTCTGTTGGTTTAGGAAAGTAAGTTTTACAATGAGGATTTTAAAGAACCCCAGTTGCAAATCCGAGCAGATGCACATGCCTGTAATTCCAGCACTGTGGGAGGCTGAGGCAGGAGGATCATAAATTTCAGCCCAGCCTATGCCACCTAGAAACTCAGCAAGGCCCCAGCTCAAAAGCAAGCAAGCAAACAAACAAAACAACGGCTGGGGATACAGTTCAGTAAAGACCCTGAGTTGAAAGAATTTTTTTTTTAAGTACAGAAAAAGTTTTATACAGAATATGGGAATTTTTTCTTTTGTTCACTAAGGAAAAGAAAATGGAATCATTCTAAGGTATGAAAGATTAGCATAAAATGAATTTTCAGTTTTGATGGAACTGGGGATTGCCAGGGAAGCACTTATTCCACTGAGCCATCTCCCTGGCCCCTGAAGTATGATTATCCCAGGCATCTTTGTGGAACAGGACCAGGGTGGAAGATCTGGCGACTTTCTTTTTTTTTCTTTTTTTGCGGAACAGGGGTATTGAACTCAGGCCCTTGTGCTTGCCAGGCAAGCGCTTATTCTACTGAGCCATCTCCCCATCCCCGAAATTTTGCTGTAGAGTTTGTTAAACACTAGAATGGCTGCTGCAGGGGAAATAAAACGTCTTTAGAAGTTTCAAATTTGAAATAATTTTTTAAAATTTTTTTTGGTGCTTTTGAGACAGTCTATGTAGTTTAGGCTGGCTTTGAACTTGCTATGTAGCCCAGATTGTTCTTTTTTAACTGGCATTGATCCTCCTGCCTCAGCCTCCTTCTCAAGTAATGGGATTATATACATGCCATCCCCATGCCTGGGTGAAATAATTCTACAGTTAAAGTTATAAAGCATTGCATAAAAGAATCTCCCATTATGTAGCTGGATGTGGTAACACACACCTGTAATCCCAGCTATTTGGGAGACTGAGGCAGGAGGAGGATTGGAGCTCAGGGTCAGCCTGGGCAATTCAGGGAGACCCAGTCTCAAATGAATGAGAAAGAGACAGACAGAGACAGAGACAGAGAGCGACAGAGAGACAGA